TTATCAGTTACGAATTATTTATCATTTTAGTGATTAGTCTCTCCGTGCTCTGTCTTGTGCCCTGTCCTGTCTTTGTTTGGGGTCCGCCTGGGCACCTTGCCGCTGGTTCTTGTTGCTGGGTCGTATAACAACAACAAAAACAACAAACAAAAACAAGAGGGGCGCAATGGCCCTTTCATTGCGTACCTGATTATGCAGGCTCAATACCGTTTTACTTGGGGCTGTGTGACCTAGTTTTTGACCACAGACCACCCGTATTTGAAACTGACCTATAAATCACTAAAAAAATTTTCAAACCAATTATTACGACGTTTGGATAAAAAAAGAAGCATAAAGAACGTTAACAAAGCTTTTATATAGTGGAACTGTGTGACCTAAATTTTGACCAAAGATGACCCATATTATAACGTGACCTAGAAATCATCAAAACAACCTTTCTGACCAATTTCAAAGATTTGGATAAAAGCAGTAGCCTCTAAGAGTGTGAACAATGTTTTTTCCCATATTTTGGCTATGTTAACCAGATGTCCCATTTTCGAATTTTACCTTGAAATCTCCAGAACAATCTTTCTGACCAACGTCCAGGTAATTTGAATGAAAACTTCAAAATTTTGCTATTTCATGTTTAAATGTTGAATTCTGCTTAAGCCGATGCTAGGGGGCGTGGACGGTAACTTACACTTTCCAGTACCGTCCATGAACAGGCTCAATCAAACCGAGCCTGCAACATTTTACAATTTTGTCATGTTGGGCGTTCTTCAGGGATTCTGTTTTTCTCTATTTCATTATCATATCCGTGTTATTTGTGCCGTGTGGCGGCTGTAAAAAGTCTCCCCGTACATTTAATCAATGAGTTATATTTTCGATCCTTAAAGATCGTTCAGCACGACATTATTGTTGTGCTTGTGGTATTTTTAGTTTCAACGTTTTGGCATTTTCTAGTTGGGTGGTTCCAATATTCCTACTTGAATAATGTTGAATCACCCTTAGGATATGTTGTCTGCTTTTTAAATTTGTCTTTTGACGTCTTATCTGTGATATGCAGGCTTCATAACCTCTGATCCCCTTTTAAAATTCCATTTTAATTAGTTTCGCCCATTGTTTTCTCGTTTAGGGCACACGCTTTTTATTACTTGGGAACCATACGTCGCTTTTCATGGAATGGCACGGAATTGTCACATTGAAGGTTCCATGATAACCGCCGTATGAACACATATGCGGATGTTTCTAAATTCAAAATTTTACTATTTCATGTTTAAATGTTGAATTCTGCTTAAGCCGCTGCTAGGGGGCGTGGACGGTAACTTACACTTTCCAGTACCGTCTGTGAACAGGCTCAATCAAACCGAGCCTGCAACATTTTACAATTTTGTCATGTTGGGCGTTCTTCAGGGATTCTGTTTTTCTCTATTTCATTATCATATCCGTGTTATTTGTGCCGTGTGGCGGCTGTAAAAAGTCTCCCCGTACATTTAATCAATGAGTTATATTTTTGATCCTTAAAGATCGTTCAGCACGACATTATTGTTGTGCTTGAGGTATTTTAAGTTTCAACCTTTCGGCATTTTCTAGTTGGGTGGTTCCAATATTCCTACTTGAATAATGTTGAATCACCCTTAGGATATATTGTCTGCTTTTTAAATTTGTCTTTTGACGTCTTATCTGTGATATGCAGGCTTCATAACCTCTGATCCCCTTTTAAAATTCCATTTTAATTAGTTTCGCCCATTGTTTTCTCGTTTAGGGCACACGCTTTTTATTACTTGGGAACCATACGTCGCTTTTCATGGAATGGCACGGAATTGTCACATTGAAGGTTCCATGATAACCGCCGTATGAACACATCTGCGGATGTTTCTAAATTCAAAATTTTACTATTTCATGTTTAAATGTTGAATTCTGCTTAAGCCGGTGCTAGGGGGCGTGGACGGTAACTTACACTTTCCAGTACCGTCTGTGAACAGGCTCAATAAAACCGAGCCTGCAACATTTTACAATTTTGTCATGTTCGGCGTTCTTCAGGGATTCTGTTTTTCTCTATTTCATTATCATATCCGTGTTATTTGTGCCATGTGGCGGCTGTAAAAAGTCTCCCCGTACATTTAATCAATGAGTTATATTTATGATCCTTAAAGATCGTTCAGCACGACATTATTGTTGTGCTTGTGGTATTTTAAGTTTCAACCTTTCGGCATTTTCTAGTTGGGTGGTTCCAATATTCCTACTTGAATAATGTTGAATAACCCTTAGGATATATTGTCTGCTTTTTAAATTTGTCTTTTGACGTCTAATCTGTGATATGCAGGCTTCATAACCTCTGATCCCCTTTTAAAATTCCATTTTAATCAGTTCCGCCAATTGTTTTCTCGTTTAGGGCACACGCTTTTTATTACTTGGGGACCACACGTCGTTTTTTATGGAATGGCACGGAATTGTACATTGAAGGTTCCATGATAACCGCCGTATGAACACATCTGCGGATGTTTCTAAATTCAAAATTTTACTATTTCATGTTTAAATGTTGAATTCTGCTTAAGCCGGTGCTAGGGGGCGTGGACGGTAACTTGCACTTTCCAGTACCGTCCATGAACAGGCTCAATCAAACCGAGCCTGCAACATTTTACAATTTTGTCATGTTGGGCGTTCTTCAGGGATTCCGTTTTACTCTATTTTTTTAGTCTCTAGTGAGTTTCTAGCCTTTCCTTGTTGATCTTGTTTATCATTTTTTAAGATTTTTTCTTTTTTTAGCTTATGAGGCCTAGTTTTCATGTTCGAACTCATCGGGGAAGTTATTTAAACATGCATCTTGACCAAGTTAACGAAAATAGGACAATAAGATGATGATCTTGTTTCATAAAATTTCAGAAAAAATCACGTGTTTAAATCAGAACAAATGGGAAAGTTATATTTGATCGAAATAAAGTGTATTGTGGAAATAACATTGAAAGGTGAAAATAACCTTATGCTTAGCTTATCTTAACTTTTAAAATACTTGTTGTCACTTACTAATGACGTTAAAATAATGGGGCTGAAAGGATACCATGTTTGACTATTTTTCATTGGTCAAATAATATTAAGTGTCCAGCTCAGAGGTTAAACAAAACCAGATGAAAACTTTGGATGGATACGAAGTTTTAGATTATTTTTATTTCTCTTTATTAAGTGAATTCCTAACGTAATACAGTGTTGCAATGGCGAGTGCGCAATCAATTTTTGATGATTGTTTTCTATATCTACATGATTTTCAAGAAGTTACTTATTCACAATTTTATGAAATTTCTTTAATTATGCCGATTTTTGTACACGTCTCTCATAGACGTTACGGAAGTATTTTTTTTCCAGAACGAAAGTTTATTCAGTAATCCAATAAAACCTATCATTAGTTTACTTTAATTCAGTTAAAAGTACTAAAATATTATAATGTTCATGTTTTATATCAACTAAAACATATTGTTCCATACTATCATTTTCAAAGTAATTTAATATTTAAAAGTCGCTTGTTTAGTATCAAGTTTCACTAATTGTTATCTGATTAATTATTTACTATCCTGCCATAAAGAAATCTTTAAAATCAATATCTTATTTGTTTAGAAGAAATACAAGTCGGAAGAGGTTACATATCATATATATATTCATACATATTAACCAACAGGAAAAAGATTATAGAATCTGACTTGAAACATGGTCAGAAATATAAGTTTTATATACCGTGAATGAATAATTAAGTATACCTACATCATAAACAAATCGTGAAACGTAGTAAAACACGTAAACAAATGTAAGGTGTGGCATATTTTAGATATTGGATACATTAAATGCAGTACTATATTTTTTAAACACTTTATATTTTTCCAAAAAGATCTACTGTCAATAAGGACATATTTTTGTTTCCTTTTGTACAGTCTGCACCTGTCTAGATTCTATTTTCGACGTTTGTGGGATTTTTCTGTTTTTGTAATTTCTGTCCTTTTTTTGTAAAGGAAGAAGTTCCAACATATCCAGTTAAGCTATATATTTTGTTTACTGAAATTGTAATTCAATAATACACACATTTTCATTTTGTTTGTTTCATTGAATTGTATTTCATTTTATTAATAAACACATACATTCACTTTGTTCGTTTTGTCAAATTCATCTTACTGTACAAGCAAAGTCACTGATGGTTTTGTTAAATTTAATTGTATTTTATATAATGAATACACACAATTTATTTTATTACATTTAATTTATTTTAGAAATAAACACACAAATATTCAGTTTAATTGTTTAATCATCTTTTACTAATCAACACACACACTTAATGTGTTTTCTTGTTTCCTTATTAAAATATACACATAGTGTAATTGTTTAGTTTCATTGAATTTTAATTAAACACATACGAATATCCAATTTGATAAACTGTTTCAATAAATTGTATTTTAACCTATATTTATTAGGATTGATACTTCCTTGATCCTTTACCAAAAATATTTTATTCACATTCTACCTACGAGTAATAGCCATATAATGTTAATTTGAAACGGTTCATGTCATTACACTTATTGGCCCGGCCGAGTATTATGCCACGCGAACTACACTTCTTAAGACCTGTTCAGTGTTCATTAATGGGGTAACTGAATGAGTTTTCGTTCACTTGCATCGCTAGGAATGTAAAATTAGAAATGTATACGGCAGACAAGCCAAACAGTTCAAAAGTGGATTCTTTCTTGAAAAAGTGAATCCTGTTCACATATGGGATGATACTATTGAGAAATATCTTTTATTCCAAAGATCTCAAAATAATCCGCGACATCAACACTTGAACCCAATCAAATAAAGATTATTTTATCATTTATATACGTCGTGAGACAGAGATACGATAGAATAAATAAGATTAATCTAAACGACTTTCTTTAGCTGAGAAGAAAAATTTCATTTACTTGAAGTAGACGCTCCTAAGAGATGACAAGTCTATTAAGATTTTCTATAATAAACTCTGATTTTCTTTCAGCAAATTGATAGAATCTATTTCTCAACATAAAGTACAGTACTATCTTGTCATACAAAACAGATAAAAACAACAGTTTCCGTTTATTCAAAGCATTTAAATGAATACAAATGAAAAAATAAACTATCAGTTTATGCATTTTGTATCAAAGTGAAACACAATATAAACAAATATTTCAGATGAAAATGACAGGTTTCATTCATACCGCACTTGTGTCCAAAACAACGCTATTCAATTTCTGCCGCTGGGGCATCAACATAGTTTTAGTATCTATATCTATTACTACTTCTGTAAGAATCGCCATTCCACGGATTATACCCAAAATAAGTACGTGGTCTTCCTAGCAATCGGGGTTTCGATCGGTAATATCCGGCGTTATTTCCATATGAATAAAATGGGATTATTACTTTTTCCTTAATTCTAGGATATCTCTGGTAATTTTCTGAAACTTGAAACCCGCTTCGTTTAAGAATACCCTCAATTCTATCGTTGTCAGGCATGTTGAACCCAGGATCAAAGACAGATGACGGCTGGAGACTAAAAAAATCGTTGTTTTCGTCTCCATAGATACGATCGTCGGCCTCGTTGAGCAACGGCAAAGTATTTCCTAAAATGGAAATTTAATTGAAACATAATTGAATTTATGTTATTTGGCATTGGCTCTGATCTGAAAATGTAATTAAGGCACAAAGATTTTAGTTTGTAAACCACTTTGAATTTGAAATAAACGTAAGAGTTGACACAATTATTATATTTTCAAAATACAACTGATTGTATTTGGTTTTTTTTAAAGACGATGAATATGAATTTTTGAATTATTCTGGCTAATAGGGTTCCGCAACTCTTCTGACAAACCTAACCGACCGTTTAGCACACACACGCTCATGTACACACACACTCTTCAAAAATTGGACATTTATACGCTGTGAATTATATGTCTATTTATTGAGTAATTAATGATTCAACGGCTGAACATTTGAATTTACTCAACTTGAAAATGGCAACATTTGAGAAACAGGATCCAGATCAATAACTTATTTCTATAATATTTCATTTACTATATGTGTTACAAAAACAAGTATAATTCATTTTAATTTTATTTCAAATTAATTATAAGATATTATCATCAAAATTTTACATTAAAAATATTGCATTAATTCTCACACGATTCCTGTATATGAAATAAGATAGAGGAATGTTTCACCAATCAAACTTTATGACAGTGAGAACAGCGAAAGCAACAAGCCGTAGTGATAACTGTCCGAGACATTCCTAAATAGTGAAAATATATAAAATCGTACAAACAAGACACGTTAACTATTTTGATCTTGAGTCACTACAAATAATAAAAAAAACATTCGACGAAGGAAATTTATCTAATTCGTTTATTCATAAAATAGAAACATGTTAGTGAAAAAGTGGGTCGAAAGCAAAATATTTCTTAAATCAATGAAAATAAATCTTCTTTTTAAATATTATATATTTTATATAAAACATAATATTTGGGATACAAAGACGTCAATTAAAATTAATGATATAAAACAAAACGTCTTATATTCAATCTGTATGAGACAAAAATGGACACAACATGATAACAAATTGAAAGTGTTTGAAACAGAAAACACGAAATTTAACTTGTTGAAACATATCAGGACAACTTTTTGTCACAATTAAAATATTTCTACATATACAAAACGATTCATTATAGAATATAAATATCATTTATATATTTTCATAAATTTCCAATAGAAATTCAATTCGAAAATTGCAAATGTAAAAATAAAACTAATTTTATGCTAACCAAATGAAACAATTGTCATAAATCCCAAAATCCAAAAACAGTTTTTTAAAACATTCGAAGATTAGAGTTTTCACCCGATTCCAGTTAAACTCAATGCCAGTTCCCTATACGCTTTTCCCCATTTTTAAAAAGGCCCTCACATCCCCATATTGGGTGTGTTAATTGGGGAACCCTTTCTACCGGCGATTGTACTTTTCGCTGTCATGACGTTGTTTTAAAAATTATGGATTTGGTGTAAATAGCAATATCCTTAGAGATATTTACATAAGGAATTAACGAAACCGATCCTCTTATACCAATAAATACAGTCATGTAAATACATATTTCTGAAGTTGACGCTTAAAATCCGTATGTATAGTTTCGTGACATCACATCGACAACTCGGAATTTACTGACGTCAGATATTTTATTATGACATCTTGTAAAAGTTCTTAATCTCGTTTTAAACACTATCAATAAATATCTGGAAAAATGTGATCCATCGGAAGCATTAACAAGAGCTATAAATTTCCTCTATCCTATGCGAAAAAAACCCCAACAAACAAACGTGTAATTAAAACACGCACACGCACACACACAACAACATTTAAATAATGCATTTTAAAATTAAGTAACAAATACACTGTATTGCTTACTTTATATTCAACATTTGAAGGAGTCTTGGGAATTGGCCCGTATCATTATTACAGAGATAAACAAATAGTTATTGAAGTTTATCCAAATTAAATTCCGACATTTATTATTTATAATGACTGTGCAACGAAACGAGCGGATAAATGTAAACATTTATATAATGACATATATTTAATTATAAATATTTTTAAAATATTTATAAATTTTAATTATTACAAGTTTATCAATATGTAAATGATAAATTTTATTGAAAACATTAATGTGCATGTTCCAATATTGTATTTTCATCTTATCAGGTACAGTTATTTTATTTTTACGCTCCAAACCTATTTCTTTATAAGTAAGTTTACTTCCATAATTATAAAACTATTTTTGTCAACATGAAACTTAATAAAGTTTTGATGTAACATGATAAAATGTTTCTCATGTCATACTTTACAGTATACAGTTTATTTGCCATTGAAAAAAATGCCTTTGGCCGATTTACTCAAGAAATTTAATGTTGGCAAAGACAACAGAAAAATATATACAATATAACACAACACAAAGAAAACATATACCATACATCAAACGATGTCATTTAACAATAGTTCTATCATTTGAAAGTCATACTTTCATATTCGAGCCAGGGGTAATATAGCGAAACGATAGCATTTTACAAAAAAAGGTAATCATGGCCTAAAGACAGATAGCAAAAATTTATTGTTTGTAAATGGCAAAACGAAGACTTATCGCCATGAAATAAAAAGAAAACTATACAGTCTAGTTTTTCATTGAGTATTCAGTAAACACATAAGTAAAAGCAAATTCGTTGAATTTATATCGCGCCCGGCGAGTACTTGTATTATGTTAACAAACAACTGAACGATAAGGCTTTATTATATATTGAATCATAAGCAAAACAGGAATTCTCTTGAACTTATCCATGAAATAAAAAGAAAACTATACAGTCTATTTTTTCATCTAACTGCATAACTACCCATAGGGCCATACAGTTTCAGTTAGAAGTATCTGAAATTTCCAGCCATAGTTACATGAATTCCTAGCCAGTAGCACGTAGGAAACGATTATTGCTCGGTTGTATTTACGCCTAAGTTAATCAAGGGTTCAAAAACACCTGAGTTAAAGTGTTGGAAACCCAACAAGGCAATGATATGCGCATTCTTCTCTTGGTATTGAAGGGTTCCCATAAAAGTTTCAATTTTGAACCCAGCCAGGTAGTTGCAGAGAAGTTAAGCGCGGTGAACGATTTTTGCTCCTAATATGCATACTGCATAACTAATTCAAGGGCCATAACTCTGAGTTAAAGTGTCTGACCGGAACAAAGGCGACCCGGATTGCCACATCTCCTCTAGGTATTGGACGGTTTCCCAATAAAATTTTCGTTGAATTCCAGCCAGTTAGTTTGCAGAGAAGTAGTGCGGAAACGGTTTTTTGCTGACTTAGTGCCCATACTGCATAAACTAATCATGGAACCATAACTTCTGAAGTTAAGTGTCTGACCCGAACAAACCGTCAATATGCGCATCTCCTCTTGCGTATTGAAGGTTCCCAATATAGGGTTTCAGTTGAATTCCAGCCAGTAGTGCAGAGAAAGTATGCGCGCGAAACGATTTTTACTCCCATAATGCAAATATTGCATGAACTAGATCAAGGGCCATAGACTCTGAGTTAAAGTGTCTGACCGGGAACCAAAGCCGACCGATGATGCGCATCTGCTTCTTGCATGATTCCCATAAAGTTTCGGGTTGATATTCAGCCAGTAGTTGCAGAGAAGTAGTCCGGAAACGAAATTTCGGACGGAAGGATGGACGGACGGACGGAAGGACGGACAACGCCAAAACTATATCCCCCCTCCGATTCCATCGGCGGGGATATAATAATAAGAATAATTGATCATTATGACTTGATTTTCATTTTATTTTGATTATAAGTAGTCAATCAATTAATCGCTGTTGCAAGTTAATTCGGAAAGAAAGTCACTCGACTTAGTTTAATATTACATACTTGCATGCCAGATAATAAAGACATTGAGCGAAATCCTTTTCAAGTTTATTCTGTTCACAGAAACGTTTGGCTGAAAAGGACATAACTCTTCCAACAATCAGTTGATGTGCAGTCAAAATCGCGATCCAATAGTACTGTGTCAATGTTATCTTCATCTTAGCTTTTCTTATTCCTTGTTAACCCATTACTTCATGAGCATTTTGTAAAAAAAATGGCTGTTTTCATTGAAAAGTCTCGCCGTTAACAAGTTCAAATTGCTATAAAACTATCAAAAAACTGCTTCAATACTAATCAAACTTGGCCCAAATATTGACTGGAGCCATTGCCTTTTTGCAATAGAAATGCTCAGGCTTAAATTTTCTGTTACCATGGCAACGAGGGGGCATCTCAAAAATTGCCAAAAATCACTATTTAGCGTTGAATTTTTCCATCAAAATTTATTTCAAAGTGCTGCAACTTCTCAATGGATTGAGATAGAGTCAAATGCTTTTCAGCGTTGGTTACACGTTATCTTATGATCGATCTGGGGTCATTTTTAGCCTCTCACAAGTCCAAATTTTTTCTGCCGCCTCCCTTTAACCCACCCCCCCAAACAGAAGGGGCACATCCCCCTTCTGGCAACACCCTGATGTATCTTTTGGTTGGGGCCGCACCGAAAAAAGGGTCACTTTTTAAACAAGATTTCTGAAACAAAAACAAGTGTCAGGGGCCTAAATAAGGCATTTTTTTCACCATTTGAGACAACAAAAAAAGGGGGGGGGGTGAAAAAGTTATAAGGCGTGTATACCGCGTAATAGATTAATCTAACAGATATGCACATTTGGTTTGCCCCGAAATCTGAATCCAGTTTTTTAGCAGATGTCACTTTTGAAATTATTTATATTTATGTAATAAAATGTTTACAATATGACTGAGATGCAAATACTTTTTCAGTAATCATTAGAGCACATATTTATGCTGTAGCAAGACGCAAAGATTTGTGTCTTTTATTACATCTAAAGCTAGTTTAAATTTCCTACTCCGGATTATGTTTTGTTTTGTTTTCTCTTGTTTTTCATGTTGTTGTAAAAATAAATAATTACTTCTCTTATATATCATATAATATGTATGTAACTTGACACCATGTTACTATTTGTTTGATTGGGTTTTAAGTCAAATCGACAACAGTAATATGTCATTTGACGACGTTCCAGGCTTTACTGGTGAGGAAGACCTCAGGTGCCCTTCCATGCATTATTTCAGACACAAAGGGCACATGAGTAGAACCATGAAGAGAACATAGTACATCGCTGATATTTATACATATAACGAAACACAATGTTTATCACAATAGTTAAAGTATTTAACTCTATCTATTACGTATGGAAATTAAATCAAATTACAGTTCATGAATTCCATCTTGTAAGAAATGGATCAATTTTTAAAAAACATGTCTTCACGTGAATTTTTCATTTTGGTTGAGGGGAAAGGGGTTACGTTGCACAAAAATAGTGATATTACTTAAAGGCGACTCTTCAACTTTTACTGGAGGAAAAGAAAGTCAGGTTGCCCATTCTGTGCAAAAATTGCTTCAGGCACAAACGGGATATCTGAGTACAATGATTGACTTTTTGTAAGCTTCTGTGAAATTCACATAAATTCGTGGGCATTTGAAATTTCGTGGTTTAATTAAAAAAAAAGGACATTTTCGTGGGTTCTAAAATTCGTTGATGTTCATTTTCTTGTAAAACTAGAAATGTGTCCATAGGACACGGATGCCCCCACACACCACTGTTCTGTCAATCTTATGACTCTAGGTCAAATATTTTTTGGACTACATGTCCCACAAGTTGAAAACTCAAAATCAACAAAGGGCCATAATTCTGTTAAATTTGGTCGCAGCAAAAATTCCTTCCTTTACTACCATCTACACATTAAGGTTGTTAATCCCTGGAAGTTTAAGCAAAATCTGCCATCCGGTTTAAGAGAAGTTGCGTTCACAAAATTTTACATAGTATATAGTGAAAAAATCAACAAAGGGCATAATTCTGTAAAATTTGGTTGCAGCAAAAATTCCTTCCTTTAACTACCATCTACACATTAAGGTTGTTAATCCCTGGAAGTTTAAGCAAAATCTGCCATCCGGTTTAAGAGAAGTTGCGTTCACAAAAATTTCTACATAGTATAGATAGTGAAAAAAACAACAAAGGGCCCATAATTCTGTAAAATTTGGTTGCAGCAAAAATTTCCTTCCTTTACTACCATCTACACCTTAAGGTTGTTTCATCCCTGTAAGTTTTAAGCAAAATCTGCCATCCCGGTTTTTAAGAGGGGTTGCGTTCAAAAAAATTTCACCAAATAATTTTAGGGAAAAAAACAAAAAAGGCCTAATTCTGTTAAAAATTTTGGGCAATCCCAAAATTCCTTC